ATAGAATATCATAGCAAATTAAATTGATTTATTTGCGACATATCCAACGAACTTCCAGTCAAACGGAAAAAAATTGTCATCCACGAGCAGCCCGGGCAGAATTGTGACTTTGCAACATACCAACGATTGGCCATACTGTAGTCGAGGGATATATCATTCCAATTATTTTCTCTCTTTCTCTGGCTCTCTCTGAGCATGTATAAATTCTCATTGCTCTGGCAAAGCGTCAACGGAATATATCTTTTGTAGATAGCCCCCGCCACTAATGTAAAAATGTGAGATTTGAGGAAAAAAAACCGCCGTGTCATTTTCGGTTAGGAATGATTTAAAAATTTGAATTTCCATCGCAATTTGAATTCCGAACCCTAACTGGATTACTAATTTTTTATTTTATTTTGAGCGGTGGCATGTGAATATTGGTTCTGATTCTCCGTGTCAGTTCTCCAAAACAACCGCAAGATAAGCATCCAAACTGTGCAAAAGTAAAGTATAGAAAGAATTTTTCCTGCGCCAGGGGTCGGGGAAACATCCATACTGTTTAAAAGCGCTCATTTAACAGTAGATAAGACGGTGCCATGAGCGGGCCAAGGAATTCAATTTTCACGTATAATATGAAAACGATCGTGTTGTTTTTTAAGATGACAAAATCCAGAGTCTTTGTGTCCAAAATATAGGTAAATTGTTTAACTGACAGTTCAAAGCAAATTATGTGACCGATTATTAAAAAGAAACTTAATGTCAATAACTTCTTAAATCACTAGTTGACAACTCACAAAATACGTATAAATCTAAAATAATTCTTGTGATGTGATTATATTTTCAAGCTGAATGTAACAATACTTTTCAGTAATATTTGTCTATATATTTTATATTAACACACAAAACATTTTGTATGGATTTATGTATACCGTGTTTGCCCGAAAATAAGACAGACAGGGTCCTATTTCAATTTTCTTTCGAAAAATTCTTTGGGCTTATTTTTGAGGGCATGTCTTTTATTTTCATTTATCAAAAACAATATTACGAGATTTTCGAATATACAAAATATGAAAAACGATATTCTTTTACTCATAAATACCAAGTTTTTTTAAAGCTGTTAAACATAGAATATGCAAAAATGACCATATCATCATTACCATATAAAATGTTTGCATCAGCGCGCTATCGAGTAGGTATTATTTTAAGGAGATGGCTTATATTAAAATCACTTTCAAATTCAGGCTAGGTCTTATTTTTGGGAAAACACGGTATATGTTTTCCTAAAGACCCAAATCATTGCAACTATTTAACTGAACTTTCACTCTCTCCCATCCATCACCGATTTGGACAAGCGTGTTATGTGCTTTCAACATTATTTCGACGCTGGGAACGGGTGTCGAAGACTCCAAAAACACTCTCTTCTCGCCGTTGAGACTACACCTGAAGAGAATGAAATATGCCTGCTCATCGTCAGTTATATATAGGGTTGGCATATTTTTAAAAGTATCTTCCTCGAGTATAACACTTGCTTCTGCGTTGACGATATCCAGTTCCTTCTCTATCTCCAGCTCCAATCCACTCGAAGCTACCACCTGAAATGTTGATGGCGCGACTCTCGAAAATACTGCTGTCAAGTTGTTTGGTACTCCTTGATTATCGGTATGGAAGATACGCACATCGGCTCCAAATCCGCCTAGAGTTTTGTGCTTACTGGTTACAATGCACTTCCAGGAGTTGTAAGCATCTTGGTCAGAATGAGCTACAGCATACCATTTTTGCGGAATTGTATCAAAATTAATCTCGACGTCTGTAGATGGGAGTTTGCAGGATTTTGTGAAAATTACCAACATAAATACAAAGATCGAGTCAAAAATGATACGTTGCATCTTGTCAAGTATAACTGCAAACTATGAATGCGACTGATATCGATCTGTGGCGTGCTTTTCACACTACGATGTGCTTGATGACAAAACATAAGCTGACAAAAACTTTAAATCAATCAATACACAAATAATCAATAATTAAAACCCATGAAATGCAATTTTATTCTTTGCTATTTTGTGATTTTTTGACTGTTTGAAACTTTTTCTTAATACCTTAATTCCTTAAGTGCCCAAAATTGACCATGCACGGATTAAGTTCAGAGCTTCACGTAGGCTGGAAATGAAACTAGTTACATCACGTTTGTAGTTTTGATAGGAAAGCAACGTGAAAATCCTGTAATGTATTTTGTTTTTTCCTCCAATATTCTGTATAAGATACGCAGAACCTCAACTCGAAAGCCGTAATGTGTTGATTTTATTCACACAGGCAACATCTTAATTCATATTTGGTTCAACGACGCCAACCGTAGGTCTCGCGGATTATTGGACCACCAAAAGCATTCGCGATGGTGTCGTTTGCGTCAGTTTAAGTGCCACACAAAACTATAGTGCAAAACATAACATACAATTGTGTCACAATTCACACATCTAAAAACACCTATTTGAAAATCAGTGACCTGAACTAATGCAATAAGCTTAAACAGAGGCACACACTTCAATTGTAGACAAAGCTTATACTTTAGGGCGGTATTCTTACATTTGCGGAATATTTTTCATGGTAATTCAACTGTCAATCTGTAGACCAATCTATACTGTTGCTTCCCATTTGTTTACATTTCATTTTTAGTCTATGAAGCTTTATAATCACCTTTAATACAACCAGAAATTACAAATAGCGAAAAACTGATAAAGAAAAAATTGCAACGTCGTAGATCCCCAAAGTTGATCGAAAGAAAGTTATTCGTTTCTCGAATTTAAAACTGCATTCAAATACGGACAAAAGCGTATGTCCATTGTTTTACAGAAATGGAGATACCGTATAATATGATTTAGGGTGATATTAAAATTGTCCAGAAGAGATGATGATAATTTTAAGCAAAGCTCTGCAAGGAGATATTCTTTTCCTTGAATTTATCATCTAGTGAAATTCAAACGCGCCTTGATTTCATATTTAAATCAGCACATTTACTTCATATCTTCGGCTTGTCCCTAAAACTGACTTACATTTCATTACTAGATCATGAATAAGGTGTCTTTCGCGCAAATATTTAGCTTAAAACCCTAAGGTTTGCCATAAAAACCCAAGATATCTTGTGCACATGCAATGCAGAAATCATGAAATCATCTCAAAGCGCTCAGCAGAGAAGTACTGAAATCTAACAGTCATTAACATGCCTGCTAAGATATATTATGAGTTGTTTAAGCGTGTAACTTTGTATATCTGCGACGATTTATTATGCTATATAATTATCGTTGCATAATTTGTGGGCTGGGTAATAGAAGAGTTTCATGATACACAACTGTTTCAGAGGACTCTCGCCGAACCCCTGAAACAGCTCCACCGAACCCCAGGGTTTCGACCGAACCCAGGGTAAGAAACACTGGTTTAAAAAGTGATTTATTATCTTAAAGAACAAGCTCAGCAGAAATGTCTTACAATTTATGAAATGTCCTAGTTCAAATTTAGGATTCTGTAGCCAACCAAAATAAAAATTCCTTGTAGGATAGGATTTACATATTTATCCCGGGAAAATTCGACTTAATCGTATGGCGCACTACGGCCTCCCTCAGGGTTACTATTCCATATCGCGTATGGGATTAGTTAGCCAGTTATTTGTTTTTGAAAGCATGGATTTGATGGTGGAGGAAGCCGTTATCGACTAGCGGTTACGTGAACCACCCTACGGCAGCGAGGAGTCCAGCAATCCTCTCGCACATGACCATCCCCGCATGGGATTCGAATCTGCGAGCCCAAGTAGGGTAATTAAGGATGTTGTGGAGAGCGTAATTCTAACGCTTAGCACGATGCGCCACACCGCCTAAACAATAAGATTGTAGTGACGTGTATAAATATAATACTGCTGAATAATTAGTCTGCTGAGTATTACAGAAGAGTCATTAAATTAATCTCAAGTAAGTTTCAGTGTTTATTATGCTTGAATCATCTTGTGTTTGTAAGAAGTAAAAGATTGGTGCACTGTGGATGCAGTGTGGTACGAAAAAGTGCAAGACATCGTGGTGGCATGTGGCATGTGCTGATTTACAAGGTATCACAAAATATTGTATCAAATAAATAAATACAGATGCCCGAGTTGTGTTGTAGAATCATTGGGATTGTTGACACCTGCAAAATCGAGCAAAAATTTAAGCGAAGCAGTGCAAGATGAAATAAAAAAAAAGTTTTCCTGACATCATTAAGACTGTTGTAGGAGAGGTGTCATCAGCAACCACCAAACGTTTTGCCAACAACTATTGCGTCGACATAAACATATATATAACATCTAAATATGAGTTTTTTACGTATTAAAAATGTAGGATTGGCGGAGTTTACCAGATTCGGAGAAAGTGTTAAAAGGGTTTACCATTAAAAAAAGGTTGACGAGCACTGATTTAAAGTAACTAAACTGGTAGTATTTTGATCACCTATGGGGTTTCCTGACTGCGGCCCGCAAGGCGTTTTGATCAACTATTGTTTACTTTCTAATCCCAAGCGATCAAAGTATCGGATTTGGAGAAAATTGTACAACAAACACTGAAGTTTATGCAGTGATGTAACATTCCTGGCTTGGGAACAGTGGCGTGCCTACGGTGGGGCGAAGGGGGCAGTCGCCCCGGGCAGCACGTTGTGGGGGGCAGCAAAACGAAGCTGTAGAGATAACGTTATAACATGTGTTTTTCTTGATGTGTTTTTATTTAATTAAAATCATTAGGTTATAGTTTAGGCTGACATTAGGTTATAGTTTTGTGTAAGTTATTGTGGTGATGGTGAGTCAACAATGGATGTTTTCCCGACCCTTGACTCCAGAAAAATTCTCCACCTGATCTTTTGCCATGACGACAGTTTCGCGAGCGCGCATCACTGCATGCGAGGCTGAAAAGTTTATGTTTGATTTAAGTACTGCCGAACACGACGATTGGTTTTACTTATTCTTCGGTTTTCTTTTTATGTAATTTGATATCACCAAATTTGATCCACGGATGAAGCGAATACAACCAAGCGGGGCTCAATATCGTCGCAAGAAAAGACGCAGGGAAGCAGAAGTTAATGTCCTGAGAGGCTCTTTAGATGCGTGGGTGAAAAAGCTATACGTGGCGAAAAATCAACTGGGTGATGAAAATCATGAGTCCGTGACTGTCGTCCAAGATGATGTCAGTTTTCCAGTTAACACACATCTTGACATTGTTCGTGACAATCAGTCGCACAATTCGATTCCGGGTGACGCTGATGATTTTGATGAGGTGAGTGCTAATGCTGAGGCGAATGCTGTCATTTTGAACGATGACGCTGAAGGTAACAATTACGATGGAAATTTTATCGAATTATTTTGTGACCACGACCTTGGGCGTTTAAGGAAACCGATATCTACACATTTAGAGAAATTCTTAGTTCAGCAAGGACCAGAAAATTTTCAACACAAAGAAGGTCCTTTTGCTAAAAGAGAAGGAAGATCTCTTTCTAAGCATTGGTTCGAAACTTTGTCAAGTAATGGAGAGTGTTTTCAGAGAAAATGGCTGATATATTCGCCATGCAAACAGGCAGCCTTTTGCTTTGTCTGTTTTTTATTTTCAAAATGTGAATCAAGTTTTTGTAACGAAAAAGGATTTCGCAGCTGGAGAAAATTGAATCCTCGAATTTATAAGCATGAAAAAAGTCCGGGTCACAGAAATGCAAAACGTGAATATTTGGATTTTGAAGCACGACTTGAAAAATTACGTGTAATTGATTATGAACTCCAAAGGCATATTTCAAGTGAGAAAAAGAAATGGCGACTTATTGTTGAACGAATTGGCGATGTTGTTTACCTTCTGTCAAGACAGAATATTGCGTTTCGAAGTCACAGAAATGAAGGAGTTTCAAAGTTGGTCAACGAAAATGCTTACGAAAACAATTCTGGAAACTTTTTGGAAATAATCGAACTATTGGCAGATTATGACGTTGTTTTGTTTGAACATTTACAGAATGCGAGGAAAAAACCCAACAAAGTCAACTATCTTTCGAATAAAAGTCAAAATGAAATAATCAATCTTATTGCCGGTATAATTAAGAAGAAGATTAGTTCTAAAGTAAAGAAAGCCAAATACTACACTCTGATGTTAGATTCTACTCCAGATATATCACGTGAGAATCAAATTGCCGAGATCTTGAGATACGTTCACATCAGTGGGAATAAGGATGTCGAAATTAAAGAGGTTTTTCTTGGGTTTTTTCAAGTTTCTGAGAAAAACGCGGCAAGCTTAGTGGAAACGGGGATTGAGAAATTGAATGATGATGGAATTGACATAAATGATTGTCGAGGACAAGCATACGATAACGCTGCTGTTATGAGTGGTGTACGAACTGGAGTACAAAAACGAATTTTGGAAATCAATCCAGAGGCCCAGTTTGTCAATTGCGAAAACCACAGCTTAAATTTAGCATGTGTTCATGCAGCTGAAGTTCATCCAACAGTGGTTACATTTTTTGGTATTATGGACAAAATTTTCGTTTTTTTTTCATCTTCAACAACACGTTAGAAAGTTCTGAAGTCAAAGGTTGAGAAAACTGTCAAGAAGCATTGTGAGACGAGATGGAGTTCGTACTACAACGCAGTTGAAGTCATCCATGAAAATTTTCACGAAATTATATATTGTCTCGAGTATTTTGAAGATGACAAATTTTCAAGTGAGACCAAATCTGATGCTTGTTTACTTCGCCATTCGTTGCAGCAATTTACATTCGTTTCTCTCTTGAAATTTTGGTGCCCTGTTTTGTCATCCGTTCAGAAAGTGACAAAACGCTTACAAGATCCAAAGATCGATTTAATTCAGGCAAGTGATGATCTTGATGGGCTTAATAGAATTATTGATCTGAAATCTGAGGACATTATTAAGAATGCAGACAGATCGGCATCCGAATACTGCGAGGAGTGGAATGTACCATTGACAAGAGTCAGGCAAAGAAAAATGATGCCTGGAGAAAGTGTGAAAGACTGTGGCTTATCAGCAATTGAGGAAATGCAAAGAATTATGAATGAAATCGCAAACAGACTGAAAACCGAACTTTCAGAACGCTCAGGCCGCGTTAGTAGACTCGCTGACAAGTTTTCCTTCTTATTAAAGTTGGACTCAATTGATGTTGAAAATATTGAACATTTGAAAACCTTGAAACGACAGTGCGAGAGAACTATTTTGAGACTGACGTAATTTCATCCTCCCTCTACGAAGAAATCGTTGATTGCATTACGCTTTTCCGAAGTGGAAACAGAAATTTTCCAAAAAATGCTAAAGATTTTCTTGCCTCATTGGTTGGGCTTGGCTGTGATGTTTTTCCAACTTTGTGCACTGGATATCGTTTATTACTCACAATTGGCTACTCAATTGCTAGTTGTGAACGATCTTTCTCAAAGTTGAAGCAGATAAAAACATATTTGAGGTCTTCAATGTCAAATCAGCGCCTGTCGAGTTTATGTTTGATAAGCATCGAAGAAATATTCCTGACAAGTGAGGTGAAAGAGGCTGTCGTTCAGACGTTTGTTGACAGCAAAGTAGCGATTGGACATACAAATAAATAAGTGACTTGCTTTTATGTTATGTTTGTTGTTTAGCTTGACAATTTATTTATTAAAACAAACGTTTTTATCTTACTTGATCTTTATTTTATTTATTCTCATGTATAACGACATCTATAAGCTGTTTAACTCCCGAATTATTTATGAAGTTAGCTATAAGGGGCAGCATTTTAGAAACTCGCCCCGGGCAGCAGAAGAGTTTGGCCCGCCCCTGCTTGGGAATATTTATATTTCTCAGTCAAAATAAACATGGATATTTGGCAAAGTTTTTTGAGAAAATATCAACACTTACGACTAAAAGTTAGGCAGGCCTTAGATCCAAATTGTATGGTGTGAATAAATCATAAATTAAAGATGAAACATTTACTCAGGGTACAATTACATATTCAAATTAAATGGAACATGAAAAAATACAATGTTTAGTGGCGATATCATTGAGAATGCGCACGCAGAGCCGAGCTTATTGGCCGCGGTGGAATGTTTTGTGTGCGTGTGTGCAGTTATCTGCATATTCAGTAATCATTTGTTTTTGTGTATGACCTTATCACCAATCAGTCGATCGCGTGCTATTTTAAAAATTTTAGTTTAATTTTTCGAGAATTGACGCTTTTTCAAAAATCTATGTGGCAGGCAATTATTAGAAATAAAATTAAGATTCTTTGCACTAATCAACGGGCCAGAGACCTAATGTTATTCTCCTCTCACAATCAATTTGTAAGCGATATTTAAAATTGTAGGCATATACTTTAGCAAAAATCAAGTAATTAAAACTTTGGAAAGCAATAATCGCTATAACTAAAATATATAACATTGGTGAAAACAGGCACAAGGGGCTAGAAATAGTCATTGGGAGTTTCTGCGTAATATAAGTAAAGATAAGGGTATTGGATGGGTTTGCGAACGGGGATTTTAGGAAATGACAGCAAATGAGAACAGGTAGGGATGAGAGATAGTTTTCGACATTGGGATTTTTAGTAAGAATAAAAAATGGGTTTAGACATGGAGAGTTCAGAAGGATTTGTGGGTTCAGTTTAGACATGGCGTGAACAATGTAGTAGAGAGATGAGAAGCGTATCGGGTGCAGAGATGATCTGAGCTGAAAGCGTGATTTGTGTTGATAAATGTATAATCATTATGAATGAAGCGTATTGCAAACTTGTCCAAGAGCTATTGTTATAAAAAAATTAGACTGAGTTTGCCAAAGGTTGAGAAGAAATATAACTTTATATATATATGTCCTTTTGCTTTTGTGAATATTAGTTATATTTTACGAGATCTTTGAGTTGGGGGACGGTGGGCCACGGTGAGACATAGAGCACAGTGGAACCAGCTCTCGCACTCGTACTATATTTGGAATCAGGGAAGCGTTTCGTGTTTTGAATCCGCCCTTCGATGAGTTACAACGCCCCCGCAAACGGACAACGGCCGTGCAGAGCGACGCAAGCTAAGAGATAAAATTGGTTTTGGCGGGTTTAAACTAGAATTTCACACTTTCATTTTTTCCCTTTTTTACTCCTTCTCAGCATGACACATCCCCGTCTGACATTTTTTACCTTTAGTTCACTGTAAAATATTCATAACGTTGGCGAGTTGAAGTACCTTCCTAATCTCAACATGAAAAACAGTCGGAAAAAAATTTTCTTCTAAGGGGAACAATGGACCGGGGTTCATTGAGACATGTTCCACTGGGTACAATTCGACAGTGTTTGATTCATTGAGTGCTCTAGAGACCTAGAAATGCGTTATTTTTTTTTGTATTTTTAGGATATTTTTGGCTCATGGCCCAATATGAAATATATTCTAAATTCAAAAATATTTTTTAGATTCATATTCAGAAAATAAATAACTTTTCTTAGGCGGGAATTAGACATTTTACTTGTTAATATGTAAATGTTGGTTTTGTTTTAATGGACGCAGTGAACAGTTTAGTGACTGAAAAAATTACACCGTCGTTTTTTGTTATAGTTGAACAGCACTCAAACTTCGTATTCGATGTTTAAGGCCTTTATATCACTGCCGTCGACGAGAATGGAAATTTCAGAACTCATTTTAAATTGATTACAATTAGACATAATTCAAAGTAAAACAATGTATTTCTTTCAATTTTATTAATAGAAATCTCAAGTATTCAACAAATAAGTCTACAATGCAGAATCTTCATATACAAATGGCTCCAAGGGAGTTTTATGTTGCCAATGCAGAAAATTTGTTTCGGAAATTTTTCGGGAAAACATCTGAAATATTTTGATTGAACATTGATTTCAAAAGCATTACATCTTCAAATTTAAATTTCCCTTCTTCTTTAGAAGATAATGCTAATCCTTTGAATATTTTAAAGGCAGAATTTTTAACAGAATGCCACATTTTACCCCAAGGACTGTACGAATGTGCCCCATTAGTGGGGTACAGTAGTACACTTGACAATCGTTTTTTGAAACATTTTGTTGGTAAGATGTGTGTTGCTAGAGAATTTTTTAGTTTCCGATTAAAAACTTCATTTACTCCTTTCTGCTTTAGCCCCGCAAAGTGAAATAAATCTTCAGAATATACGGCTTAAAATGTAAAAAAGTGGCCCGACCACACAGTTTATCGTACATATATACACTTACATTGTATAAAAGCAGTAAGGCGTCAGAGAATAACGTCATCTAACTCTAATAACATGTCGCTCGCTGATTTGTTGATGTCTCGCGCGTCGCATTCGGCTGCGTTGAATTTAAATTTTAAGGGCTGGCACTTCTGCGTGACTCCTCGAGCTTTCATCCAACTTTGAGTTAAGTTGTTTTTCTGATTTAATCCGTCGTTTTGTATGTCTGATTTTATTGTCTTTAAGTCGTTCTGACTGGACAATATTTATACATGGACTGAGCAAGATTATTACTCGTTTTTTTCAGAGACATTGCAGACTTTTGAGAAAGCTCAGCGCTGGCTCGCACCATAGTCCTGAGAGAAAATTTAATACACTTTGGAAGCTGCTTCCAATTGTTGTGGTGGAGTGAACTTGGAAGGCGGTCAAAAAACACGACAAGTCACTTGGTGACCCGAGGACGAATGATCCGCGTCCCTTCCTCACTGGTTCGCCAGTTGTAAATAAACATTTTGGCTTAAGATCAGTATATATGTTTATTCGCCCAAGAAAGGTAAGATATATGTTGTTAACTGATGCATGCACAGGTCTATATTGGTCAAAAACAAAAATGTAAGGCTCCCACACATTGTGATAACCAAAAAAATAAAATAAATAATTTACGGGCTCTCATAATGACAGTTAGACCACATGGCGAAGTGATGCCTATGGTGGGTTACAGTGATGGAGGCTAAGTATATATTTATTTTCATTGTAGTATTTTCTGTGTAAACATATTTGAGTGATTTAAATTGACAGATTTTATAGTTGAATCAGGGAGTTTCAAATTTAAACGAGAACAACGGCTGCAGGATAATTTTCATCATTATCCATTCCAAGACATAAATTTTTCAAGGTCATTACTGGTGATTCAAGTCCGTTGTCATACAAAACATCCGAGATTAATTAGAGTTGATCAGAAGTGATCTGAGAAGTTCTTGCGTTTACATAACCAGTCCAACCTGCACAATAAATAAATCAATAATAAAATTTAATATTACGAGACTTCAACAAACATCGAGCCTAGAAAAGTATAAAGAAATCAAATAAACAGCGGCAGTTCTTTTGAGTTTAAAGAGTGATTGGTGCAAGGAGCGAAGTTATGATATAAAAGAAATGGGACAAAATGCTATCTACCTGCGTTGGATTTCAATATCAAAATGAAAAAATTATCATAGTCGGTTAAAAAGAAAGTACCGTTTAAAGATAAATCTTCGGGTTCTGCATATAAACAATTAATGACATGTTAGCGAAGAAGACCGATCATAAATTTAAAACGTTTATTAAGATTACTTCAAATATTACAAATTGTGACGACCCTTGTTTTCCCTGTTAAATGACGTCATGTGATATCGTTTTAATATTTGGTATTCTATCAGTGAGGACACTGGGGGCGCTGTGACACTGTCGGCCTTCCTTTTTTTTTTGCGGCATGGTCTGCACCGTGGGTTGACGAGGGGCAGTCGTCTGAGTGTTTCGGTTGGATTGGTGGTTGTTTTGTGTCTGTGTGGGTGCCTCTGGTCTTCGGGGATGTTTGTCTGTTGTTGTGTGACTGTTGGATGTTTGTGCTGGACAGTGGGCTGACGTAGGGACCATGTTATTGTTTGAGTACAGTGCCATTACAGTTCATTACCGTACAGTTACCGTAGTGTAGTATTTTCAGTTTTGTCGTGAAATTAGCTTTTATCAGTACTATTCAAATGTTGTGTACCTATAGAATTGTTCGTCGTCTTTTAAAAATGCCTGTTATAAGTTATTTTCGGCCTGTTCCGCAAATGGTAGTAGCTAGTTTATTGTACTGGATTCTAGGGGTCATTTAGCTCCATTGAAAGTCTCTTCGATTTCAGGGTTCGTCAGTGTTTTTATGGTGTATATGGTCTTTCTTGCCTTTTTACTGCCTAGTATCTGGTATTTTTATTTTATGCTTTTTGTTCCTTTGGAGTGTTTGGTTGTTTTGGATTGTTCACTGTTCGAGTTGTTAATAAATGACATAAAACAGCGTAAAGACT